GTTTTCGGTCTGGGTTTGGGTTAGGGTGCAGGATAATAAGGAGGAAGAGGAGGGTGGGGGTTAGGATGGATGTGCAGAGGTTATGGTCGATTTTTCAAGATTTGCCGTCAAATATGCAGTGAGAGTGAGAGAGAGTGATGAACAGTGGGGGGAATATGGGGGGTGGGGGAAGGTGGTGGTTGTGTACTGTGAAACGGGGCTGTCGAAGATGATGAGGGATGAGTGGGTGGAGTCGAAGAGGGAGGGGGAAGGATGGATGTGCAGAGGTTGGGTAGGTGCAGAGAAGAGAAGGGAGGGCGGTCGGGGTGGGGAAGACGATAGGGTTGTGGGTTTTTATTTTTTATTTTTAAATTTAAAATTTAAAATTTTTTACTTTTATTTAATTAATTAATTTAATATTTTTTAATGACACGTGACCCCCATTCATTGTCCACATGGGCATCACGTCATCACTTAACAAGAGAATTAACAGTTTGACTAACGGATGTATGAAACTGTCCCAAAATTAACACTTTAGGTATGACTCTGGGATGAAAAAAACTTTATGTACTAAATGTTGAAAACTACGAAACTTGAGGGTAGTAAACTGATATTTTATTAATTGAATGGAAATTAGAAGTGGAGCTTTTTGGTAGAAAGATATGTCTACTTAAATGAAGTGTTGCAACTTTTGACTCTTCATGAATAGTCACATGCTTTCCAAAAATGTATCTCACATTCTATAAATAGAGAAGCCTCCTATAATCATCAAGAGAATTTTTCATTGTTTACATAATCATACATAAAATGCAGTAAATATTAGAGAGTCACATTGAGTCCATATGAGAGAATATCCTCTTTTTTCATAATGCATTTTCAGTTTCAGGGATGATCTTTGTTTTACTGTCTCCTCTTGGATTTTGTCTATTGGATATTCATAAAAAGTCTTAGTGGTTAGTAGAACTCTACTAACCAAACGGAAAGATGTCAATATTAGGTACCAAATGGCCCTAAAAGCCTTATAATGTTAGTTTCCCTAACCAAATTAATACTATTTTTGGGTCTTTCTCATCACATAGACTTTTGCTCGGCTCATCCCGAAAAAAGACTTTGCCAAACTACTCACTCAATGTTAGATATGCATGGGGCAGGGTTTTGGCATAAGGATTATACTAACTATCAACTAACAATTTTATATATATCTGATACCATTTTCAGAGGCACGAACTAGGGCGGGTGACCTAATCATATATACACGACAAGGTTTTGTCACCATGGCGTTTATAACTATCATATCCACACGGTACACTTGATTCCACTTGCTATTTCATGTGATAAAACTCGGGAAAGATTAAAAAACAAAGGGGAAATTATGATTTTTTTTTTTTAATACTCGATCTCTTATTGTACTTAAGCCGGCGAAATATGTACCAATGTCCCTTTGGTCGCGATGAGAGATTATTCACCTTCATATAAAATAATAACAACATTGCTAAAGATTGCCATCGTGCCCAACTGCTGTTGACAAACCCATTTTTTTAATTTCTACTAAGCTTCTCATAGGCGGACTCTTTTATTTAAAGCAACTGAAAAAAGGTACGTAAGTACGTCCCTATTCAAGCTCTTGGGAAACTTCAAACTTTTTTTTATTGGAAACTTTAACAAAAGTTTCCGGTACTGTCACTTTAACGAAAAACCACATTTTTACACTAAAAAGTCAATTCTAGTACTATTCACTTTACCTTTTATTTTGTCCTTATCGTTAAAACTTAAAATTTTCAAGTTATTTTCATTAGTTTTCCTTTTTTTATTTCTAGCATCAATGTGCTTAAGAAGCTTAACCCTCTCTGGATGTTGTAAGATAACGTAATTAACTACTCTTTCTTAAGTTGGTTAAATGATGGTTGGATGACTTTAGTACGGGTAAAATTTGGCGAGTTAATTAGTATAAAGTTGTAGACTTTCATGCAAAAGTTCTTTGCTTCATTATCTATACTACATTTAAAGAAAAAAAAAGAGAGCAAAAGATGATATGGTACTGGAGCTTATGCAATATACAGAACGAACAAAGTCAAATATCAGAGCAAATTGGGCTGGTCTTATACCTACACTTGAGGTTGAATATCCAATCACGCGGTCACATGCAACGATCATCTTCTATTCTTGATTAACAATTTTAAGTCAGTAGTGGGGAACGATCAAACATTCACATGAAAGGGACCAACTCACCATGCCTGCATGCATGCATGATAAAAGTTGATTTACTGCTGGATTCCAACCCCTGTGCTACATCGTACCTTCCATACTACAGATTATATATTGAAAGATGATAAACCTTCGTAGTCCTGAGTAGTTTAAAACTATAGTTAATCTTACTTTTACTATTGACCATATAATTTCTTTTTTTTGTCAATGCAAGTGTGTCAGTTCATGGACATGCCAATGAAATCTCATTTCATGGTGGGATGTTAGGATATAAAGGGTAAAATTGTGAAACTTGTCACTATATATAAGCTTGTGTGATTACTTAAGCTGTTAGAGGAATTGTTGAAGACTGTTGCCGTTGTTAATAAAAAAAACCGTTATGCCTTCATGTAAATGGATATAAGGAAGCTTTAGCATAGAAGAGGCAATCGCAATACAATAAGTCATTCTTTTCATACTTCTTTCCTGTTTTTCTAATTTATCTAATATTTTAATTTTTAATAACATGTGGTATTACTAATTCACTCATGTTATAAGTTATGTATCTATTTATTAATAACCTACACAAGTCCATGAAATACTATTATTCACCCGTATAGCATGTGAATTAATAATTGCATGAAAAGTAAAAAATCTTCCCTATCGACCACCGTAACATATTTAATATATGAACAATTTATGACATAAATATTTTGATATTCCGCTATATATCTTTGCTTAGATTAATCAATGAAACATTACTCACTTATTAATTTAATGAAATTTCTTGTTCAACTTAAAGGTAAAAAAGAATAACAAACCAAAAATTTTAAAATTCTAGCCGCATAACAAAGGGAAAACGAGAGAGAGCCGTAAGAAACTAGAGATCTCCTAGAACCCCTCTACAGATAATCTTATTCTAGTCGTTATGTGTAAATTTGTGTTTCCCTACTATTTTGTAAGGTTTGTTTTGATTGTTTTTGCCTTATATGGTTTGTCTCTCCATAGTAGCTACCTATGTCTTCTTTGACTAGATCTATAGTTTGCCTTTCTTGCCTTGTCAGATCTTTTATTTTTGGGGGAGACCCCCCGGGGGGGAGGGGGGAGTGATCGATGGTGTTGGCTAATTTTACTCTGTAGAGGTGGAGCTGACTGGTGATCTTGTCAAATTTAGTTTATGTTTGTAATAATCAAAACAAGAGTTGCTTGTGTTTTGCAGACTCTCTTCAAGCGAACTTTGTACGTAATCTCTTTATATGGTATAGGCAAGTATGATGACTCTCACTATATGCGAGTTTGTTCGTTGTGAGGTCGATTTGGTAGTTTCCACACCAAAGTACCAGATATGCGCTTGTTTTGGGGGGGTGGGGGGGGGGGGTGTGGGAATCTACTATGTCTTCTTTGACTAGATCTATAGTTTGCCTTTCTTGCCTTGTCAGCTCTATGGGTGGGGTCGTGTTGGGGGTGGGGATGGCGGGGTTTGCCTTGATTAGCACGAGGTTGATGTAGATATCTTTAGGAGTGGTTGATGGTGTTGGCTAATTTTACTCTGTAGAGGTGGAGCTGATTGGTGATCTTGTCAAATTTAGTTTATGTTTGTAATAATCAAAATAAGAGTTGCTTGTGTTTTGCAGACTCTCTTCAAGCAAACTTTGTACGTAATCTCTTTATACGGTACAAGTAAGTATGATGATCCTCACTATATGCGAGTTTGTTTGTTGTGAGGTCAATTTGGTAGTTTCCACACCAAAGTACCAGATGTGCGCTGTTTGAGTTTGTTGATTTTACTATTAAACGATGCTTTAAAATCATGAGGTAATTTGGAGCTGTAATATCTTTTTTTGCAATGATCAGATAAAAACATGACGTTTTTTCCTATCTTAATATTAATTGTTTTAAGAGTATTTATCTTTCAAATACATTTTGTGATTATGTGTCAAGGAGGGTACAATCCTCAAGGAAAAAATCCTTTCATTTTGGGTGCGGGTCTCACATCATTTCTGTAAATAATTAAACATTTGCTCTAGTGTATTGGTTGAATTTACACAAAAGAAATAAAAATACAACTTAAGGATAAATTTTGGGACTTATTAGGTTATTTGCCATGTAAATATTGTAATATTGCCACCACCGGATATGCTATTTAATTGTAATTACTGGAAATGGAAAGATATCCAACTGTTGACAATTTACATAATAACAAAAGTGACAATATAATAAATATCAATCTACGCACAAAGGAGTAAAATGGCAGCACAAGAAATATCATCGGTCCGATACTTTGTAAGCTATGAATTCGTTTGATTGTGACCATAGATAAGGTGCCCCGAACAAGGTGGATAACCGTGATCGTCACCAATCGTCCTCATTTTTTTATAAAAAGAAAGATTCAATAAAATAATTTGTACTATCTTACCTTAACAGACCATATTATTTTTCATATACAAAGGAATGATATACTAGATAGTCCTAAAATTTTTTTTGGGATAGCATAAACTATAAACATGCAGCATGAAGAAATGAAAGGTTGAACCCAAAACGAAGAACCCAAAGTCTTGGACATTTGATAGTACTCGTGGCAAATGATGTCATTTTTCTAGTTGACGTGGATCGTTGTGATTGCAGTAAATTATATAACATTTATATTATCATTGTTTGAGATATCATTCTCATGATGAGTGAGGATATTGTTAGAATTTCAGGTCAAGCATATCAGTTACAGTGAAGGAGAAATCAGCAATAAGTAAATTAGGAAGAATTGTAGATATTTAGAAATCGTCCTGGATCTCCTATTTATTACAGCATAGAGTGACCCCACCTTGAGGCATGAACCTTGAGGGCCTTTGCTCTGTAGACATTCCTCCTGCATATCTCCATCACCACCTCTTCCCTATATATATAAAGAGGGTGATGCATAAATGAATTTCTCATATATACAAAAAAGAAAGACATCGTAAATATAGATATCTGGAGAGTGAGGTGATTCGGGTGACATGTGCGTTGGAAAAACACAGGATCAATCTCTATTATCGTTATACTATTGATTGGATCGAAAGAGAGAGAGATGGGGGAAAAGGGAAAATCACTATGTTGTGATAAGGAGCAAGTGAGGAGGGGTCCGTGGAGCCCTGCTGAGGACTTGAAGCTCGTTACTTACATTCAGAAAAATGGCCATCATAACTGGAGGGCTCTCCCTAGGCGAGCAGGTAATCTTAATCTTGATCCTCTCTCTCTCTCTCTCTGTCATTGGTGACATGTTGATTTTTCATAGATTTGGCATGTATGAGAAAATGAAATGGTGTTCAAGGATATAAGTTTACAAATTCTTGATCAAATTCCCCAAAAAATCGAATTTCTATCTTTTATTTAGACAAAGTAATTTCTTTTATCTGGGTTACAATATTTTGGATCAAACTTGCATTGAACATCCCTTTTCAAAGAATGAATCCTTCAAATTCTATTATGTTTTTGGTGACAACAAAAGATGTCATTGCCTTCAAATTCCTCTTCTTGGCAAACACTTTCAGTTATCTTTCAATGAATTGCATTTTTGTTTCTTGCTTTCTTTTTCGCGGGGTTTTATATGGAAGAAGGCCGTTACAAGTTTTAGTGATAAAGTGATAGCTTTTTTTACGCGCGAAGTTTAATTCTCAAGTCTTGTAAACGTTGAATTTTTTTCACTTTATGTGAAATAAGGCCATTACCAGATTTAAAGATAGAGTACTTATTTTACGCGCGAAAGTTTAAATTGGTACTCTACCTCTCAAGTCCTCCTAAATGTTGTTTTTTTTTTAATGAATCCAAATGTTGAAATAAAAAATAAAAAGTAGTTTCCTTAACTTCATTTGGAATCTGTTTTTTTATTCCTAAACTGGCATGAAATATGGCTTCCATTGTTTATGACAGTGTGTTGACAAGAATTTTGTTAATTAGCTACCAAAAACAATAAAAAGCAAGGCAAGTTTGAAACGTTTTTAATTTGATTTTAAATTTTTATTCAACCTCTAAGAATTACTTTTTGGAAGGCTATATAACATTAATGATTGTTACCATGTTAATACCTAATCCTTGTTATTGCATATCTGCCTAACTGTCATGACCATTGTGTGCATCCAATACTTGCTTTCTGAAACATGCATATCCTGTTCGAATGTGTCAAATTTTCGTGAATATCGATGCCCCTTACCTTCTATACTACAAATTATGAATTTTTTTTTTCCATGACAAATTATTATGAAAATGCCCTTTCTACAAACGAACTAAATGTTATTGACTTGGTTTTATAAATTCAATGTTACTTTTTATTACTAATACAACGTATTTGTGTTACAGTCACAAACAATTTTTTCTTGTTTTCTTTGTGGCATGGACACACAAGGGCCTTGTTGTTATCTATCTTTGGCTTCATCATTTAGCTGGACTAGATTGTGGAATGTTGGTCCAAGTTTGAAGAGTGATAGGGAGAGGTTTCCTAAGTTTTGTATCTTTCATGTGACTATATGTATATATATATATATATATATATATATATATATATATATATGGTTGGAAAATCTCACCAATTACCTCTAGAAATACCAAGTGTTTTGTGTCAACAAAGTTAGGAATTGAGAACGAGTGCGCTACATTATCAGTCATATCAAGTTTCCTTTAAGTCTTTGCATGGCTGCGAGATGAAATGTCCCTTTCTCCACTTTTTATTTCCCACCAACATTAATCTATATTTCGTATTTGATAAAGGTTTTTTTAGCTAAAATATCTTTGAAATTTGCATAATTTCTCACATTGGTCTTTGAGATTTGAAATCAATAGAAGTAGTTACTGAGATTGTCTACCATCAATTATTTTGGTCCTTACGTGAAAAATTATGTTAAATACGGATCAAAATGACAAAAATACCTTCAATTTAATAAACAATAGGCCAAAATGATTTGACAAAAAATTGAGGGTATTTTTATCATTTATTCTTATTTAATGGAAATTTTTCACAGAATGACCAAAATTATTGATGGTGGACAATCTTAGGGACCACTTCTATTGATTTCAAATCTAGAGATCAAAGTGAGGAGTTATGCAAATCTTATGGACCATTTTAATTTGTTTCAGAATATATGCCAGTAACATTAATATTAATTTGTTTTGAAGGTTTGATGAGATGTGGTAAAAGTTGCCGTTTGAGATGGATTAACTACCTTAGCCCTGATGTGAAGCGAGGGAACTTCACAAGAGAGGAAGAGGAGTCCATAATGAAGCTACATGAAGCCTTGGGAAACAAGTAAGATCCAACATAAATCTCATCAAATATAATTAGTGGATTAATTAAGCTATATTTTATTACTAACTTATTCTCGGCATAGTGGTATATAATTCTATTTTTGATATGAAAAATATTTCAGGTTTGAAGCCACTCCATTACTCATTATTGATACACAATAAAACCATATTTTATTACTACCTTATTTTCAATCTAGTGGTATATATTCGTTTTTTTAATATTAAAGATGCCTCAAGTTCAAATCCCTAATTACCAGAAACTTGTGCAGGTGGTCGACAATTGCAGCACATTTCCCAGGACGAACGGACAATGAGATTAAGAATGTGTGGAACACTCATCTAAAGAAAAGATTGGCTTGCCGAAACCTATCTTCCTTAACATCCTCTTCCTCATCATCTTCTTCTACTACTACTACATTATTGTCTAGTGGAAAACCAACCGTAGGAGGAGGGGATGAAATAATTGAGCATCAATCTGCTGACCAAGAAACTAGCATGGCCACCAACAACAAGCCACATGAGCCATGCAGTTTGACTATTCAAGAAAACCCTAATCATCAGGATTCTCCAATGGAATTAACAAATGATCCCAAGGGGTTGAAAGAGTTGACCACTTCTTCTAATGTTTCATCTAATGAATCCAACGGCTCAAGTAATTCCAGCCAAGTTGTTGGTATGTCAAGGCCAGGAGCAGAAGAGCAGCAAATGGATGATGATTTGATTGACCTTTCAGGACTTTTTGATAATCCATTTCATGAGTCTGACTCTGACTTTTGGAACATTTTGGATGACTTTCAGCCACTCCAATCAAATAAAGTCCAAGTACTTCATGAGGCTGATGAGGCTAATTACCAGAGCTCAGGCTTGGGACAAGTGGAAAATGGGAATTGGCTTAGTTACTTGCAAAATGAGCTTGGATTTGAAGCCGCAGCAACAGAGAGTGAGATCAACAACCAGGAGATATTACCAAAGGGTGCAACTGAACAACCAGTCATCCCAGAGACCTTTGACAAAATGCCAAACCCTGCAGGATATGACGAGAGCATGGATTACTTTCAAACGTGGCTTTCTTGGCCAGAAAACAATTCCGCCATTTAAGTTAGTGAAATTAATGCTAATATTAGTTGAGTCATCCTGACGACAGTTTTAAAGTTACAAATAGGGGAATTGCTTATGTTATGATGATGGAATCTTTGATGTAGTTTTTCATAGTTTATGTCAAAACACAGTGTAGGTTGAACAATTAAACATCATCAAATATTTTTATAAAAAAAGTATTTGTCTTCCAGTTATTATAATCTTTTTCTGAAAGTTTTGTTTATACGTTACGTATCTATTCTAAGAAGAAAGATGTATAACATATATAATAAGTGCAAACAAATTCTCCTCCTTACATGTGATGATGTTCAAACATCTTCCAGTGGTTGGGTGAGATAGTTCCCCTCTTGATGAAAAATAATAGGAAAACTAATAAAAAAAGGTTTGAAAACTTTAAGTTTTAATGATAAGGACAAAATAAAGGTTAAAGTGAATAGTACTATAATTGACTTTTTAGTGTAAAAATGTGATTTTTCGTTAAAGTGAACAGTACCGCGTGAGCTTTTTGTTAAAACTCCCAAATATAATTAGCTCAGATGAAAAATACATTTGAAAATTGTAGCAGCAATTCACATGTTTTAGTAACAAGGCAATTCGACCACTTTGATTTCACCCCACCCACAGTGACTATATATATATATATATGAAATTTGAGTGAAAAGGCACCCTACCCACAGTGAGTAGGTAATAAACAATTTTTTTTTTTTTGAACATTTGATATTAAATAAAAATAAAAATTGAGGGAAAATGTATATGGTAAAGACATGCAACCAATCATCTCAATTGAGCCTAATATACGTAAGAAACTACAATATATAGAATAGAATAAGAATCAACAAACTTCAAACTTTAATCAAGTCGGTTAGAATGTACAATATCCTCTTTCACTTAAATACGATTTTTCTTTATAATTTAAATAAATTCAGTACAAATTATCTTATTATTTGTAAATAAAAAACTTATTTTAGAGTGCGATTATGTATTGGTTTCCATTTTTTTGGACGGCCAATATCACACATACATATGAAACAGATGCAGCATTTCAGCTTACTTTACATCAAAAAGTAGTTTGGTTCACTGAACAAGTACATGTACTTGTACAATAACTAATGCTATAGAAAAATAATTTTGTGCGCTTGTATGTTAAGTGATAATGTTGAGTATGAGGGTACAATATGTTAGGAATGTCGGTACTACAAGATAGAGAATGCACAAAGTAAAGTAGAAAATGGACATAAAAAATTTATATGGTTTGGCAATTTATGCCTACGTCCACGAAACAAGGATCAATCTTCACTATATGAAAAAGATGAGTACAACAAGAGTAGTCTTACAAAGCCAAAGACAAGGCTTGATGGATACAAGAAAGTATAACACACGCTTTCTATTACTCTAAACTTCATTCACACAATGTGTAGTGGAATACTCTCACTCTCACTCTTGGAGTGGAACTCTAGCTTTGGACTTGATCATTTTCTACTCACTTCTTTCTTGATTGGTTACATCACTACAACATCACACCAATATTTATAGGTGAGGGCCTGCCATTCTACTAGTTTCTAATTCCTTCTACAAACTAGAACTAGTTTCTAGTATATTCTACAAGCCTCTAATTTAGATAATTCTAGACTAGCCACAAAATTGTAGCTTCTAGATCTTTCCATTTGCAACCAGGGAAGCTAGTACTTTCTAGCTTCTTCCACCAACTTAATAACTTGCTAGCATTGTCTACTCCAGCCACCTCACTTGCTTACTAGAATAATCTAGAACATTCATCATGGGCTGGATCATATACCAACACAATATTGTTAAGAAAAAGTGAGTAGAAACGTAGCGCTAGTGGGCTAGGTAAGGTTAGTAGTTAGGGAGATGAGAATTTGTATGGATTAAACTCGCATTAAGGTTCATATATATAGTTATTTTTTGATATTGCAAAAAAGGTCATCTGCACAATATTATTAAAATTTGGTATGTGTTTAAAAAGTGAAAAGAATATATATATATATATATATATGTATGTATGTATGTATGTATATGTATGTATATATTATGAGTAACTAGCTATCACAATTAAATGCCAACACTTGTGCCAATCAACACTATCATATGACATGTACAATCTGGTACAAAGTTTTTTCTCAACATTCCAACAGTCCCCTTCTTATCTGAATTTCAGCCACACTGGGAGTCAAATTACTTGTAATCATTAGTTAACCTAAAATTGACCCAGAAATCAACTTTAACTGCACCAAGCGTTGAGTAAAGAGAGAATTATTATTATTTTTTTATTGCTAATAATTAGTTGTTGTTAATTGTGAAGCTTAACCTACTCCCTAATTTTGTTAGTGTAGATAATACCGTTTGTTAAAAATAAAAATAAAAATTAGCTGCTGTTATAATTCTTATTGTCAAGTGGATGATTAAGGTCCTGGAGGGGTTGGTGCATTGGTCCAATTAAATTCAAAACCAGTATTTTCTAACTGTATGACTAATTATCTTAGTGGGTAGTTGATAATTTCCACTTACTCCAACTAGTTTGACATATTTCCTTCATTTCCAGCTCCTCGAAGGAATTTAGGACAAATACAAGCAGGAAATAGAGTCAAAGTCTGTGAGCTGAATCAGTAGCTACAACTGATCGAGCAAAACCCTTTTTTGTCTCTGAAGAAAAGTACACACACGATTATAAATCCATTCGTGCGGGATTGTAAACAATTTGAAAGAATTTTCGGACAGCTAAAATATCTCAAAGTTGAAATTTATGAAACATGAAATAATCAACATTAGAAGTTTATTGGTTTGTGTTGTGTCAGTTCCGCGAGTATTGTGGCCTCGCTGTTTTAGCAGTAGCATGATGCAGTCTCGCTGTTTAATTTAGTGGTGGCTTCGATGCTTGATTTCTCGCGTCTCTATTGACGTTGGAGCAAGTTATACCGTTTGCACCTAGTTCTTCTGCGTGGTAGTCATGTAAGGCTTTTACCTCATTTGTTAGCTGTGCAAATTATATTCAAATCTAGAAATTGGTCACTGGAGAATGTATACTCTTGTAATTTTGTTGTGTTAATGAAATATCTCTATTGTTGCTTGTCAAAGAAAAAAAAGTGGTTTATCTTTATAAAATGATTTACGATCACACTCACCCTATACCCCCCTGTTTTAGCTGTGAGATTGAACAAATAAAAAAAAAATCAATGATTATAATTAAGAGAAGTGTGCAGGAGGTGGAAAAAGAAAAAAGAAAAAAGCGTATAGAAATCACTTTCCTAATTTTTTTTTTTTTTGTTAATATTATGTATTCGCTATTCATTCTTGCAGCAATCCAACCTAATGGTTCATGATGGTGTTGGATGAATTGTAGACCTAGCAAATCCTATTTTTAATCTCACTCTATGCAAAACAAACTTAACATTGTTATATTATAGAAAAGTTATACTTGTTTGGTACACATGATTGGATAAAGTAGAAATGGAGGCCTCTCAAATTTCAAGGTATATTGAGGGTGGAAGTGAATAGATTTTTATTTGGCCGGGATTAGAAGAGGACTAACTATAAAAGAAATTATCTCTTCTAATCCTACCATTTTAACGAGAATTGTAACGAATAAGTTTTTTTTGTAAGTAATTCATCTTCTATCCTCTAAATGATCATAAATTTATAATTTCTCCCATCAATATACCTTAAATTTTGAAGGTAATCCATTCCAATCAAATTTATGTGTTCCAAACGAGTCATTCATTATATTCTTAAGAAATTGAAATAAATTTTAAACGAGCCATTGTTTTCCTCAAGACCAAAGAAATAAAGAGAACCAATGTTACGCAAGAGTCAGCCCAACTTAAGGCCCAACAAAAACGGGTCAATTATATTGAAACCGGTCGGCAACCCGTTTTGGGTTAAACACCTCCCCATGGAATCGTCTTTTAATTTGGCGTTTCTCAACTCCCGTCTCCGCTCCGTCCGCCGTCTGCAGTGGTGGAAATCAACGAGCTCGCGTTCCCAGAGGACGAAGAAGGAAGCAGAGTGTTTAGGCAGCTGAAAGCATATTGCTTTGAGCTTCTAGCTTTTCCAAAACCCTAAGAAGCACCTCTCTGCTCTCTCTTCTCTGCACCATTTTCTTCGCCGGTCTCCGCCTCATGCTCTCCAGCCATCCTTCGAGTAAGCACTTCAACCTCTCTGTAAATTTTTCTTCTTTGCCTTAAATTGCATTCTTTATATGTGTGTGTACTTGTATTTATGTATATGAATATATATGTATATAGGTGTCGTTATATATGCTTGCATGTATACGTATATTACACCGGGGGTGAGCTTTGAGGGTTGGAATTGGATGAAGCATTCGTAACTTAATCGAGTTGTTGCGTTAAAAATTTTGAATTAAAGAGTGAATGCTTGTGTCTTTAAGTTTTAGTGATCGGTGCAATGTTCGAAGGTCGAGGGAATTGGTAGAGTGGAAGGTATTGGGTTGAATTATGTTAAAAGAAACCAAAGTCCTCACCCCGATTGCACAGAACTTCGTGTTGGTGTGGTTGAGCTATACTTGTTGGGTTAGTGTACACAAAGTCAAATTGTTTTTGAGTTTCTGGTATTGAAATTTGTTAAGTACTATATTGTGATATGATCCGAGGTGGCGGAGGAGCAAAATTCTCAGTTTTCCATTAGTGGATTCGGTGTCCCATTGTTCAAAGTCACAGTGAATGGCGGGTTCAACATTAAAGTTCCTAGTGATCCACACCTGAGGAAGCATAGTTTCATCACTTATGCTTGTCGTACAAATTTGCAAAAGAATTTCGAAATGCCAGTGTGTAAGTATGTATACATCAGTAAGCATTATTTCCTTGACATCGTTTTTCATCTTTCAGCTACATGTTGTTTCTGTTGCTGCTTCGATTGGATGCAGCTGTTGACTTGACTGTAGAACCTCAAAGAAGCTTGGTTCTGAAGAAAAACTTGCGAGTCATAAGGTCCTAAAAATGCCTCACAAAGTGAGCGATAGTGTTGCTGAAGGTTGCTTCAGTGCCTGGAAGAACTGCTCAAGAAGTGTAGTTTAGGATCTGTAGATCAGGTAAGTTCAAAGCTGGCTGCCAAAGAAATGGCATGGTTTTTCCGTTAGTTCAAAATTGTTTTGTATGTTGTATTAGTTAGTTTGTTCCCGTGAATTGTTGTCCTAGAAGGCAGTCTTCACATTTGAAGCACAATAATATCCTTTGCAGTTGGTTTTAGTTCTGAAGAAGTTGACTTATGGGGCTTTGCTTTCTCCATCTGATGCATCAGAAGAGTTTCGTGAAGGAATTTTTAAGTGTTTCGGGGAACTGCTTCTGAATGTATTTCCATGCTTTGATGATTCTTGTGCATGTAAATTGTAAACAAATATTTGGTGTACTTATGCTTTTAGAATACAGAGACATGAAAGCTCCACTCAGTAGAACTTCAAAGTATGATTCAGAACCAGATGACTGTTTGCTTGCATTTCTACGGTCAAAGACTGCTTCTGCAGGTGTTGGACACTGGCTATCACTTATTCTCAAAGTATGTTAAGTTGTGACAGTTGATTATTCTATAGCTTTAAATTTTTCTTATGTTACTCCTTTGGGGTTTTATGATTAGGCTGCAGATAATGAGGCTGCATGAGGACATCTAGGTAATGTAAAGCTTCGGATTGAAGCCTTTATGACCCTATGTGTGCTTGTTGCTAAGGTAATCTTGTGAAATCATGTAGGTTCTAACTTTTGTGGCAATGATTCCTTAAATTTGACTTTGGGTTTCCTTTGTTTCTTCCCCTCCTTCATTTCACAAAGTTCTGACCATGAGAAAGGCTTAAATACTATTTTTGCCATTTTATGAATCAATTGGTGTACTGAATAAGAATCAAATTATGCCAGTGGTGCGTGATCATGCTTTCCCTTACCTATTTTCCTTAGTCTGGCATAGGCGTATCATCATTTTTACTTCCTCTATTCCTTTTGTGACTTGGATGACTCTGTTGTTGGCGGCTTGATGTGCTTTAAGATCTTATCCAAGAATTTGTCAACAGACGAGAATGGTCTGAATTTTTCCAGGGCTATGATGAAGATGTCAGAGCTAAAGGGGCTCACCGGATCTCAAGGTCAGGTCAGGGTAGGCTGCTCTTTGCCTCTGCAGACTTCATAAACGGCATGCGCTGTGGAGAACCAGGCAAGATGGCATGGAATCTGCCTTGTTTTGAAGAGAACTGAACTGATTTTTGCCCCTTCTGGCTCTGGTTGTACAGTTTTAATTAACCTGCCATATTAGACTTAGACCATTCACTCAGTCGTTTCGACCTCCTTGCTAATTAGATTGTCGGATGCACTCGACAGACCATTCATTCATTCATTTCTTTGTAATTACAATTACAGATTGAAAATCAAAGATAATGTGATCGACTAGCAGTTGCAAGTGAAGCTGGTTGGTATCATGTGCTTCTGTTTGTACTCATTTTTAACAACTAATATATATATTTGAACTCATTTTAACTTGTAATTACAATCACAAATCGAAAATCAAATTTATCGAAGTCGATTGGTATCTATCCTTGTGGAAAATGTTATGATTATGAAGTTGGTTAATTGGTGATTTAATTATATACTAGCCTCTCGGCACGTGCTCACGCACATACGAGAGACATTTTTTTATCATGGGCACGTTTAGTATTATATATTTAGGCTCAACAAAAACCCTAGCCCTTGTGGGGGGAAAAAAATACCTAGCTAATTAGGGAGATATCAAATCCTTTTTTTTAACGAGGAAAACGTGGCCAATCGCTTCCATGCACCTTTATAAATATATAAATGTAGAAATAATATAGGAATTTTTCGAATATAGGAATCCCAAAGGATCTAGAGTTACTTGGGCAAGGCATGAGGAATTGTCATGCCGATCCCGTTCTCTCTCTCTCTCTCTCCCTCCCTCCCTCCCTCCCTCAACTTTCGGCCTACAACAAGAAAACCCTATAAGCCTAAGTCAAAATATACTAGCCATCGTACAATCACCGGATCGAGCAGCAACCATGAAGAATCACCGGAGCAACAACATTCGAGGTTTCCTGGAGCTTCTTTGGTTGATTAAGTTCATAAATTAAGAAGCTCCACAAAACCTCGAGTGCAGCTGCTCTATGTGACATTGACATACGCAAAAGCATGGATATACCAAAGATTATTAGAAGCCATATTTGCAGGTATGTGTTTTCTGATTTCTAGATAGCTTTTTTCTTGAAATTAATGTTTTATTATTTTTTTGGGAATTGTTATTAGCGCTCCAAGAATCTTATTCTACGCTCCAATACTTCTATATTTGGAAAAAAAAAATACATTTGTTAGGAGTGTAAAATGAAATTTTTTTAGTACCAATAACATTTCCTATTTTTTTCTTTCTTTATTAATTCTGTGCTTTAACGCGACTTTATATTTTCTATACAAACCCTTCCTTCTCATTAAAATAGCCGAGAATATAACTTAGGATTTTATTTTATAGTTATGTGTTCATCATACAGTTGATGTTATAAATTGTTCTGGATTTGGTTGAAATTATTCAATTTATAATTTCATCAGGCCTCAGTTTGTTTAGAAATTCTAAAGATTTTATACTCTCTGCATTCGTGGGATGCTCAAAGTTAATCTGCGTTTGTTTATTTAATTTGTTTTTCATCTCATCTCTATCTCTTGTTATTTAAACTTTTTTTAATTTGTATTTTGATGGTAGGTTTTAAATATTCTTAGGAAAATTGAGGAAAAGTCCAAAAAAACCTTAGTTTTAATGAAAAATGACAAATAAATGTGTAGTGAATAATAGTACCAGAAAAAGGTAAAAATGTGATTTTTCGTTAAAAGTAAACAACACCGGGCATGTTTCGTTAAAACTCCCTTTATTCTTTGGTTTGAGTTTAGGTTTTTGTTGGCCACTTTTTATTTCTAATAGTTAGTTTCTTTTTGTGGTCAAAATTTCTGATATTTAGTTTAATTTTGTTATTCTTTAAGTCTAGAAAATTGGTTTGGCTGTAATATTTGTATTTCCTTCAACCATTTCGACGCATGTGTAGAAATGTTTATAAGGCCTGCGGCCTAATGCCTATATATGTATTATTTATTAGTGAAACTAAATGATAGAATTCAATTTCAACTTGCTCACCTGAAAACGGAGAGAAAATGGTACGCAACCTCTCTCTTAATTTTGCTATAATTTATATTCAAACAATCACTAATTTAGCGTAGGAGTGTTTTTTTGTAGGTACATTCCCCTTCTCGTTTTCTTCATTGGTTGCTAGCTAAGATGATGTTTGTAACTTTTTAGTATGATTACAAGATTACTTAAAGGTTGCTAGCTAAGATGATGGTTGCCAGCTAAGACTGCAGTTTCTTGAAAACGATTTCTACAGAATTTAAGTCAATATCGAAACCATAACTCTGCCCTCCATACTGCACGTAAAGGTACTCTTTCGGAGACAAGGGTGGGGGAAGAATTTCGGAGATTTCAGGTATGTCGGACTTGGGGGGTGATGACATATTTTTTCCTTCATTGAGTAGTAAACGCCAGCTAGAAGAAGCCAAATGGGATCAGCGACGATAGATACAAGGCCTTGAAGGGCATTGACAGATGCCTCACGATGACCAACTACACCACTACAAGCTAGCTATCCCTGCCAGTAGACCACTGACCTTCTTGAGGACAGCTTCCAAAGCTGGAGCACTCCTTCCATTTCGTGACAATTCTGCAATCACGTTGAGCACCGCAACCTGGACTTTTAGATTAGAAGTTTCAGCCATGGACTCCTCTGAAGAACTGGAAGTGCTTCAGTAAGGAAGTTGCAGAGGGATTCTTTCTTCTTTCAAGTAGTTTTGTTAGATTGAATTCAAATTCTGATGAGAGTGATTTCTGAGAAGGAAGAAAACACAGAGAGAGAATGGAGATTAGCAATTGCTTCTCTCGCTCTGCAAGTCACAGATGAGTGATTCACTTTTCATTGATTGATTACTCGCACCTCTCTCACACACAAGTCGTGTAGTGGGAATATTACCGTTAGAGAGAATGCTCGATCCTTCTCTCACTAGGCTTAGATCACAGCCACTCATCTAACTAATAACAAAGATCAAAAAACACATGGCACTCTTGCCCTTACATATCAGAATTTTACACTTCGACATTCTTTAACACAAATGGATACACCATTTAAAACACAAAACTTATTCTAATACTATCAGCTCACAACTTATAATTCAACAAGTTGGCTTTCTATGGAATGGGGAAGTACGTAGATAGAAGTTTCCAGAAGTGGGAGCCGTCAGTGTGGAGCGTCGTGAAAAGAAATCTCCTCAAATTTGCACCCATTGCTCACCACACATAAACATCTTCTAACAGCCTGCAAACCGACGTGCAACATAAAGTGCATAAAAGGATCCACAAAATCAGTTCACTCTCGTGCGTTAACAAATTGTTGATGAAGAGCTTAAGGCACACCAGGCCGCCAGCAACAGGGTCATCAAAATTACAAAAGGAGTAGAGCAAGTGAAAATGTCAATACGGCTATGCAGGACTCAGACAAATTGGTAAGGGGAAAGAATGGTCACGCACCACTGGGTTTTTATTTCGAATGCAAACAAGCAGAAAAAGCCAGATTTTATTCACTGCTGGAAGCAACCTGTTCTCATCAGCCCCTTCATCAGCACCATCCAATGCATCTTGGAGATGATATAATGAATATGACTGAATCGCTTCTTCAATTGTTTCCTTAGTAACTCTCTCGTGGCGATAAGCCTCTTCTACTTTTGCCAATGACATAATCCCGTCCTTCATATACAGAGCAAAAGGGTGGACAATAAATTTTTCATTCATCAGTGGATCGACACGAAATATGTATTTCTGAACTGAGCATGCCTTAATGATCTTCAAGATTTGCCTTAATGATCTATTAACATCAAGCTGTCGTAGGCGTACTGGCTCCTCAAATAGAGTCAAGCTACTCCACTATAGGAAAGCATGGCAGCTAGCACATTTGGCACATCAGGGTTAATCTCCGAATGGCGTAGTTGACGACATATAGAATCAATCACATAGTCTGCATTCGCTAGTACAACCTACAAGACAATTCAAATGAAAAATTCATAGAACAAATGATTGAATCCGAAATTGAAAAGGATTGAGATTCTTGTGGAAAATGTCACACGATTTTTTAAGTTGTATTTAAAATCAAAAATCAAAAATCAAATTTAAAGAAGTCCATTGGTATCTATCTTGTGTGGGAAATGTTACGATTATGAAGTTGGTTAATTGGTGATTTAATTATATATATTTAGGGTAAACAAAAACCCTATCTAATAAAGAAGATATCAAATCCTTTTGAACAAGGAAAACGTGACCATCAATCGCTTCCGAAAATATAGGAATCCTAAAAGGATCTGGAGTTGTTTGGGGAGCAAGTATTTCGGTTTCCCTTTTTATTATAAATAAGGGACAGGGCATGAGGAATTCTCATGCCGATCTCTCTCTCTCTCTCTCTCTCAAAATATCATAGCCATCGTATACAATCACCACCAGATCGAGCGCAAGCTTACGGAATCACCAGAGCAGCAACTTTGAGGTTTTTTGGAGCTTCTTTGCTCGATTAAGTTCAGAAATTAAGAAGCTCCACAAAACCTCGAATGCAGCTGATCTATACGGTGACATTGACGTACGCAAAAGGATGGATATCAAAGATTAGAAGCCATGCATATTTACAGGCACGCTTCTAATGATTTCTCGATAGGTTCTTTCTTGTTAATGTATCTGCTTCTTGTAATATTTTTTTACCTCTTGAAATGTTTCATTATTTTTCTTTCATTATAAATGCTTTAATTAACGCGACTTTATATGTTTATGCAAATCCTTCCTTGTCATAAATTAATAGCAGAGAATATAACCGGGATGTTATTTTATATTTATGTGTTCATCATACAGTTGATGTTATAAATCGTTTTGGATTTGGTCGACATTATTCTTTTTTGTTTTTATAATCTCATCACGCCAAAGTGGGTCTTTCTTCTTTTGTGTGATACCCGAAGATTAATCTACGTCTGTTTTCTTTTTCTTTTCATCTCGTTCTTTTGTTTTATTAAACTTAATTCATTAGGGTTTGAGTTTTTAATTTGTATTTTGATTGTAGGTTTCATTTTCGGGTGCGATTTGTAAGGATTTTCAGTTTTTTTTGTCAAAATTTCTTTTCATCTTTATCTTTTGTTCATTGACTTTATTAGGGTTTGAGTTTTTTCATGCGTATTTTTGCTGTAATATTTGTATTTCATTCAACTTGCTCAGATGGTCAGATGTACAAATTTTTTGATGTAATGTTTCTTATTTTTTAATGAGCATACACCATGCCCATGATAGAGTTATACTTTGCATATATAGCCAATTAACTCACCTTATAGCCAATTAACTCACCTGAAAAGGAATTCTACTGCAACTAAAATCTGCAAATACTCACTAACTTAAGCGTCATACGTTTTTTACAAGAAACTTTTCGTTCTCTTTATTGGTTGCAAGCAAAGATGTTGTTTGTAACTTTTTGTATGATTACAAGATTACTTGTTGGAGAATTAAAATATCCTGTTAGCCGAGGAGCTCGAGCAAGAGTTTACTAAAAGCTGAAAAACGGAAGACTGGGGCCTTTTTACAAAAAGTATGGGAAATGAGAAACGGAATATCTAGGTCGCACACTTTCTCTCATTTTATGACATTAATAACCACTTATTTTATGATATCAAGAATCATTCACTTTACATTTTATTTTATTGTTGTACAATCAAGCACAAGCATGTATAAAAAATAAATCAAAGATTTTGCTTCCTTTTTTTTCTTTTCATCTTCTATCCAAATCCGAATCCCTCAAACGCAACTTTATTCTTACCATTTAAATATTCCACAAATTCGTATATATGTTATACGGCATTTGAGGTATGCTACTTAGGTTCCATTTTGGTTTATTTTAGTATTATTTTTCTTCTTAAATTGCAGCAACTTTAATCCTTTCAAACCTTCACCGTAACCTACCCCTGATCCCTCCCATTGATCTGGCGTTTAGGTCAAAATACATTATTATTCCGGTGAAAGTTCAAGCCAAACGTCCATGAAGATGAAAAGAGAGAAACTTTATTTAAACTCATGCATTGTATCTCTCAACAAACAAACTTATGGTTTTAATGTAAATTGAGATTTTTATCATAATATATAATTACCATTAAAAGCAAGATGCAATTACAAATTAGAATTAAAATATATAAACAACAACCAAACCACCATGAATTCCCTTCAATCCAAGTTTCATTACAAAATAAAAAATAAATAAAACCTTCACCACTCTATCCCAAACCCTAAAATGCTTTTGTAGAGATAAAACAGAAAGAAAAAAAAAAAAACTCTTACTGACTAATGGATGGTGATTTCAAATATTTGGAGCCTCCAAATTAGGCATGGGCTGATCTGGGCTGCTTGGGGATCTGTCATGCGCGATCCTATGGCATGGTTTACCCAGTGGATCTTGTGGCTGCTATTGCTCCAACCTTCAATCAACGGATGATTTTAATTACCAATTTACAATGGCTTTTTTCTTGTTTTTGTTTCTGTTTTTTGGTCAATTGTGTGAGTATTTTTGTTAACACAAACTAAAATTAACACGGAAGAAGTTGTCACAAACAAATAAATTTACAAAAAAAATGATTGAACACAAATAAATTTCAAGGAGGGCAAAGTTGTCAAATAACACTACGAAAAGGCCAGATGAGATTTGTGGTTAGAAGGATGCTAAAATTTCCCAAAATATTATATATACAAATTCCCTGGGTCGGTCGATGATCTTGGTCTCGGGCTTTCCCTGGTTCCTCTCACCTTTTGTAATTCTCTGCAATTCAAATGGGAAGCGACCGGAAATCCGAGGAGAAGAAGAAGAGTAGGAAAAGGAGCACCTCTTCATCGTCCGAAGGTGCTCAATTCTCTCTTTCCTCTCTCTCTCTCGGCCATGTTGTTTTCCAGTTGAGAAAGCATGGGGCTTTTGATTTTCTCTCTTTCCCCAACATTTTCTCAGCAACCAAACAAGTTTTATTTCTCCAGGGTTTGCTTGAAAGTGTGTGCAATTTGTTCCTCAGAATATATATATTGAATTCTGTGTTTTCTTTTAACAGATGAGGGAAAAGGCAAGAGGCAGAGAACAGTAGAGGATGAGGACAGGAAGAGCAGAAGGAGTGACAAGAAGGACAAGAAAAGGTCGCATAAGAACTCAAAACACCGTTCCGCTAAAGGTATATCGATACGTGTCTGAGTCTCACACTAGTTTAAGATGGATTTTACTTCGTTAAATCGAACTTTGCAATGCTTGTTAAAATTGAACTTTTTAGGATTCGGATATGGCTATGAGTATATTCACTTTGTTTTGACCTCAATCTGCTGTTGTATATAGGCCTAATAGTTAAATTGCGAAAAAGAAAATTATGTTTCAGTTAGCTTAGCAGTCCAATTAGCTTAATGGTATATTGGAATTGTTATGTTTTTACCAGACATGTACGGGCTTACTAGTTGAATAATCATGTAAATTGTGCTACAAGTTGCAGTCGAATTAGAGTAATGGCATTGTTAGTGGTTTATCGGGCACGTTCGGTGTTTGTAGAGTATGGGAAAACGTTGTTTCATCGAGTTGTTTTGACATTGAAAAAGTAAACACAAACCTACGAGATTAAGTACATGAAAGTGCATTATTTGACTAACCATTGTAGCTTTTTTAGCCTATTGAGGATGAGGTTCTTTATGGGAAATTACTTATCACATTGACGTATTTTGCCTCAGAAAAGAAGACAAAGGATAAGCACAAAAGTAAACATCACAAAGGCGATCACCTCTCGGTAAGCTTTCTTATCTCCAATCATGAATAAAAATTTGGTGTTTGAAGTACTCTCATCTGTGAACTATATATAATATGGATTTTATATGTACCTATAAATCTTTACAGAAATAAAAAGACAAAGGGTCAAACTTCTTGCAACAATTCTTTACAAAAAAAAAATGTCAACCTGTCATTACATTTAATGTTATAAGTGCTTGAATATGTTGGCAGAAGTCCTCCATACTTTGAGTAATTCGCCTCCTCTGAGTTACCGAAGAAGCGAGGTAATCACATAATGTTAGGCTAAAGTTGCAGAGATTCTCTAAAGTCGGCAAAAATTTGATTTCTATTATTTAGACCTTTTTGTTATTATTGGTAATCTGTTTTAGCTTCAGATGAAAGAGCATCAAAAGTTTATATTGTTTAATGGAATATACAGAAAATATGGGAACTTAGAGAGCGGCAACGGATAGTTTCCTACTTGTGAAGTTCTAATGTAGAAACCAGAAAACAAGAGATCTAGTTTCAATATGCAGTTTTCGGTATCACTTGTCTTTTCTTGCAAGTTATAGTTCGTCGGAAGTAGTGTCTTTAGTATTGTATGGAATAGTTTTTGATTGCACGCAAGAGTTTGCGGTGCTCGACCTATGGCGCAAGGAATTGTCTGCTTTTTGATATTGATCACTTGATGGTCCTACTTATTATGGTGTTCAGTGTATCCGGTTCTTGAACATTAATTTTCTGATGGTTAGGATATCGTTTTTCTTGCAGAAAATTGACTTCCAGGAGCTGTCCACCGATGACTATTTCTTAAAGAACAATGAGTTCTCTATGTGGCTGAAGAAGAGAAAGATGTGTTCTTCTCCGATCTTTCATCAGAGTCCGCACGCCAACTATTTGCAGACTTTGTGAAAGTTTGGAACAAACAAAAACTTGAATCCAAGTACTACGAGGGGATCGCAAGCGGGCCCCGGTGTGCCCATGCGTGGAAAATTAAAGGGTGAAATGCAAGAGCAGTAGATGATCCGGCTTTACCTGTTTTGTGCTGGTTTTCGGTTAGGTTTTCCGTCTACAGAGGGATGGTTTTGGTGTGACTAAACATCACAAATATATAGCTTAATTTCGTATGTGATTTCTTATTTGTAGCATGGTAAAAGAAAGGGTGTATCAAGATGAAGTAGTTGACACGGCATATGCAGTTTTAATCTTCATTTCCCTACATGGCATTTGTAGATTGAGCTCGAGCTTGTTGCACTAATGAGCCGAGTCCGGCCGTGCTTAGCTCGAGCTCACTCTAGAAGAGCCGAGTTGAACCAATTTCAAGCTCGGGCGAATGTATCCAAGCTTGATCCATTTTGAAAATCAATTTAATTAACAATCAAACAATCAATTCGACCAAAGTTAGAAATTGACGCAATGTTTATAAAGTCTTAAAATTGAGACTTCATGGTCTCTCTTGAAAATCATGTGAAATGTAGTTAGGTCAAATAAATTCGTGTCAAGGGCGGCCGGCCTTAGTTTTAGAGAGTTTTAACGAAATACTCTTGGTACTGTTCATTTTTAACAAAAAATTACATTTTTACCTTTTCCTGAAACTATTCACTACATCTTTATTTGTCATTTTTCATTAAAACTAAAGTTTTTTTTTTTTTTTTTTTAAATTACTTTCCTTAGTTTTAATAGGACCTCTAAATTTTATAGTCTTTGAAAAACAACCTTTTAAGATATTTTGTTACATTTCCATCCTTTGTAATTTCCTTTTTTTTTTTTTTTTTGTGTGGTCAAATGAAAACTTCATTAAAGACCCGAAGATGGGGAGAAAGTACAAACAAAGGCAATGATAGTCCAAAGGCAAAACCCAAAATAAAAAAGAGAGTCCAATTGATGTAAACTAGACAATAGCAGAATATGATCTAGACAATCAAATATCGTTTGACCATTAAAAATTGTCGATGAAGTTGACTTTTCCATCCATTCGTGTGTACATGTTCTTTTATAAAAAAGCCGACGTGGAAAAGAAATTTCCGTCATTTGACAGAACTAACAGTTGTAACACAACGAAATTACAAGGATGAAAATGCAACGGAAAAATCTGCAGGGTCAGTGTCCAAAATAAAAAAACTAGGGGGTCAAAAGTAAAAACCCAAGTAAGTAAACAAGACACAGGTAAACATGACACGCCAGTCCATACGCCGTCGTTTCATCCATCTTCTTCTTTTAAGCACTGAAGAGTGAAGACTCTCCCTTCAAGGAGCCTTCTTCTCTCGCAGGCGGTTCTGAATTTCCGAGTTTGATCCTCCGAGTCAGGTACTCCTCAAAAGACCCGAAAGCTTGCCGTTAGGGTTCTATAGAAACCCAATTTCCTAATTTTCACTAGAAATCGAAAACTTCACTTCTCAAGCAACAATTAATTGTCTTTTTTAATTGAAAATTGATGGGTTAGTTCTGATTTCTCTGTTTCCGCAGGATTTTTTGGGCTGGAAAGCACAATGGGTGATAGCCAGTACTCGTTTTCTCTTACCACTTTCAGGTATTTGACCTGTGGACTCAATTTTGTATTAGAAGTTTGATTGGAATCGTGTTTTTTTTATTGTTTATTTTGGGGCATAATTTTTATGTTTATTTGGGATTCAGTCCTTCTGGGAAGCTTGTTCAGATTGAACATGCGCTGACGGCAGTTGGGTCTGGCCAGACGTCGTTAGGGATTAAAGGTACGCAAACTGTTATGCCTTCTCTAAGTTTTTATTTTCGGATACGTTTGAATTTACACATTCTAGTGTTCGTCTCGAATAAGAAGGTAGACAGATTCAATTGGTCAGGAAAAAAATGAACAATCTGTTCGTTGTTGTTTGAAACTGGTGTGCAAGAGTTAAAGGGTATTACATGTTAACTATATTAGTTCGGTGGTTGCCTCTTGTCCTTGTTGGTAAGAAAGAAAAATTATTTCCTGTTAAGGAATGAGTTTCCAACGCCTCAAATGGAACTGAGTTCTTAGTGATCCACGATAAATGAAATTGGATGGAAGCTGAGTTTAGTTTCTATGGGTAGGGGAAGAAAATGGGTGTAGTTGAAACCAGTGCATTCAGGAGAGAGAAATAAAAGAAGCTAAGAGTTAGACATGGTAGAAATTAGTGCTTAGGTTTTTTAATTTATAGTTTTGTTACTGATGGGAAGGGGCTTTGTCTTTCTGGCCGTTTGTTGCAGCGGGCTAAGTGTCACAAATTTGGGGACAAGGGTTTTTGCAGCTGAAGGTCTTAAATATCTATTTTACTAAAACATAGATAGTTCAATTATATTGCAATTTTTCTTTGGTGGTGTACTCTGTAGTACGAAAAATGAATGATTGAGATTGAAAGTAGAAATTTAAAATGTAACATTTTTTTGGTTCAAATTATTGTGATCACCCTCGTGATATACCAACTATGATAGCAACGTGCCTATCGTATGCAAGATTGGGGATCATGCTTCCGTTGGTAATTTTAATGGACATCGAATGAAAGATCTTACGACAGCATTGGAGTCATTAGTTATATAAAAGGATCATTGTTCTTACTGCTATAGTGCTAAACATAAATACCATCTGTTGCTTAAATGTGTATATCTTTAACTTTCTGAAAAGTTTCCGGATCTTTTTTCATTTTGATTCAGCTTATTGATTTGGTTTTTATGCCAGCTAAGTTTGGAAATCTATCATATAGTTAGTGTTAATGATTTTGTTATTTAGAAAAATCTATCTGGTTGTTGTAGCTGCTAATGGAGTTGTCATAGCAACAGAGAAGAAACTGCCATCTATCTTAGTTGATGAAGCATCTGTGAGTGATTACGCTACTCTCTTTTATAGAATGCAGTTCATCAGTTTTGTACTAGTTCCATGCTGGTGCTGGATTTCCAAACTTTTTGCACTGATGTATAGCTTGTGTATCTCATCAACTATCTTATTTAGAAATTGAGTTTGTTTTCTTTCCACCTCTATGGCATGTTCTCTCAGATAATCACGTAGTATACTTCCGACTTCTTGTAACCTTTCAAGTTTTTGGGTTGCAGGTTCAGAAAATTCAGTTATTGACGCCAAACATTGGAGTTGTTTACAGGTTTGTCTGTGCTATATGCTTGAGTTTTTCAAGTTGAGGTTTCATATTACTAGTTTGATATTACTGTCATGTTGTTGCTGCTATAATGCTTCAATAATCTCTGATCCATGGAAAGTCTTAGCTATGATAAAAATAACTGCAATTTACTGTTCCTTCATGCAGTGGCATGGGTCCAGATTTCAGAGTTCTGGTTCGGAAAAGTAGGAAACAGGCAGAGCAATATCATCAGTTGTATAAAGTATAACTCAAATTCTGTCTTTTTCATCTCTTATTACCTTTATTTTTACCCGTAGTATTGATATTGTTCCTTGAGCATATGCTAAGTATTGGAATTTCAGTTTACATTCCTTAGAAGAATCCATTTGAATCTATATTCTCTTCAATGTGCACCACACCATTGAAGCATTTTTTTTTTGTTTGGTAATTTTATTGTTTTTTGAGCTTCTAAACATAGTATATGAATTTGTTTTGGTCATGGGATGGGGCTTCAAATGGATTGAAGTCTTAGTATTTTGGGACTACGTCTAACTAGTATCTTTTTCTTAAGTGATATCTACCTTCTACCCCAATTTGTGATAATGAGTCTCAACTTGAAACAAGTTCATTTATTACTTTCCTTAGTCACTCAGTCAATTACTGTAATTTGTCCTATTTTGAACGTAACTTACAATGTGATTTGGTGGGTATTTACAGGAACCGATCCCTGTCACACAACTAGTGAGGGAAGTTGCTGCTGTTATGCAGGAGTTCACACAGTCGGGGTAATCATCTTTCTTCTCACAACCTAGTTTACTATCTTAAGATTCTTAACTATGTTCTTGCTCATATTTAATCATCCGTCTTGGTCCAAACTTCGAAGAAATTGAAGGGTTTTAATGCTTGAGTTGCTTATATATTAAAATGCGTTAAGGGAAGTTTAGTATCATTTAATCATTTTAAAATTTTTAGTATTTTAAATGATTTATCGTTGAAAATATGCCTGCGGAACTTAAAATTTGAAAGATTTTCATCTTGATAACTTAAGCTTGAGTATTGTAATTTTATGCTTAGACTTCGTGCACAAGCAAATGTATGTTTTGTGTTTTCAACTTGAGTCTGCCACTAACTTTAGGTCCTGTCCCACCTTAGAAACTCTGATTTGACTTTGTCATCTTTCTAGTGGTGTAAGGCCTTTCGGAGTTTCACTGCTGGTTGCCTGGCTTTGATGACAAAGGTCCACAACTATTTCAGGTATGTGTATTCTGTCCTCTCTTAGTGTAAACGTATGGTGCACAAGTGTGCTTGAGTCTTTGAGTACAAACTATAGAGGTCCAAGGAGAGCAATCCTTTTTTCTTTTGGCGTTCCCTTTTCTTCTTAAAATTAGCATGCTCTTGTATTTCAATATTTCTCTTAGCCATCAGTTTTTATGCTCTTGTGTTTCAATATTTCTCTTAGCCATCAGTTTTTTCTTTCTTGATTTCTCATCTTGTGACATTTGAATGTACTACTCAATCATAATTCCTTTACCAAAATTGTCTGTTTCCAGTACTAAAGTTGCAGTTGAAACATTTTTGCTTTTAAAACATTGCACTTCGACCTCCTCTCATCATGTAAGTGAGATATGGCAACATCATTTGATTTACAACGAAATATGTGAACTTTAAATTTAGGGTAGTATATGTAACATGCGCATTTCCTCCTTTGTATATGAAATGCCCCTTTTATGCTGGCAGGCTATGTCATAGAATGTCTTCAACCTAGCTAAGTAGCAATTAATGTTGCAATCTAGTTGTCTGAAAAAGTCATAATTTAGTTGGCAAAACATACACACGCATACCACAACCTTTTAAAGATTTGGTAGGTATTTATTTTTCCGATATCTATTTTCCATTGAATTTCTGCATGACTGATTTTTGTTATGCTGTAGGTGGACCCATCAGGTTCTTACTTTTCTTGGAAAGCTTCTGCCATGGGGAAAAATGTTTCTAATGCAAAAACATTCCTTGAGAAAAGGCACGTTAGGATTAACAATTATAGAAACTGTCGTCTAATTTATGTTCCTTTTGTCTAAATTTGTAAACTAAAGCAATAACCACACGGTGCTTAATATCTCATAATTGCATTGTACACTTAATTATGAATCAAGTTGGAGACTGAACGAAATTTTGGAACTCAATGGTCATTGATTCGCAAGAGTAGTCTTCGTTCTATTTTATTTATCTCAGTAATTATTGACAGCCTATATTGGATGTCTAACCAGGATATCCTGGCCTTGAGTTTTATGTTTTCTTTGAATTTAGCTTACGATTCATGTGACTATTTCTTGTAGGTACACCGAGGACATGGAACTTGATGATGCTGTCCACACAGCAATATTGACCCTGAAAGAAGGGTATGCACTTTATCCTTCAGTTTTTTATTTTAATTTTAATCTTCCTAAATGAAACAAATTCAGACCTGAATTAATGCATATATCAAGTACAGCTGTATTCTACTATACAAATATAAGTTAGCTCTTTCATGACGTTTCTTTCTGCGTTTGGTTTTAGGTTTGAAGGACAAATCTCTGGGAAAAACATTGAGATTGGCATAATTGGTGCTGACAAAAAATTCAGGCAAGTTTCCGTGTGTTACAAAGTGCCGTTACTTTGCTCATTATTTATATTCTTAGTTTGTTGTAGTTCTTCCTTTCGTTTTTTGCTAAAATATGGCGGATTGAAAAATTAACTTTGAACTTAAGCAAATCTGGGCTGATTTTCACCGGCTTTATTTGAGTAGTAGTTTAGCTTTAGTTTCAGCCAGGACGAAATTTTAATCTGGCTCACTTAGCAACATGCAAGCAGTAGTCCAACCATGACCACAGATATGTAGACTTGCATGAGTTATAACATAAGATGCAGAGTTGTTTTCATGTAAATGCACGATTGTAAACCGCATAACATAAGTTGATGCATTTCTAACCGGCAGGTTTGATTAATATGGAAAACCAAAGAAAAATAAAAGCTAAAGTATATAGTACTAGTTTCCTAGTTTTAATTTTTGTCGCTTCCTTTCTTATTCAACACGAAATACTATAATGTGTAAATTGGTTCACCCTTTAGTTGGGATGCTGCATTTGCATATGAATATTTGTTGTGATTTTGTTGTTGCAGAGTACTTACACCAGCTGAAATAGAAGATTACCTGGCCGAAGTGGAGTAGATTGGGACCAAGAGAAACGGAAAGATCAGAGCAACCAGACTACAGAGTACTCACTGCTTTCGGGAGTTTTGTAGTACCCCCCGCTTTGTTGTTCTAGCAAAACATGCTTTCGGGTTTTCTTTCTTCAACTATTGTGCTTATTTTGTAAAATGCTGTTAAACCTAATCGTTACTCGCTTCTAACGATGGTACATGCTTGTGGCTCTGGCTTTTTCCTCAATAACTGCAAGCTCCAGTATGCATTAGCTTCACTTCTTTGATAAGCTCACTTATCTGACAAATTCGCCAATCCCTTTCAATTTTTGCAATTTCCAGAGACGTAATTTTGAATTGCAGTTCGGATCATGTCAACTTCAGGGTACAAAACTATTCGCATACGAATTAGGTCCACAAATTAGTATTTCAACTTCTGTTCCCATAAAATTAATTGAGATTTTAGATAAGAGTACAGAGATGGTACAAAAGAATTCAAGTCCCAATACATGTTGGAAGAATTGGGATTTCAAACCTATCTATTGCTTGGTGCCGAAGTAACGATGCTCTCTTTAATCAGTACCGTGTTATCGAGGTTCTTATTTAGCTTCCTCACCAATAGTCAGAACAAGAACACTTGCCGTAGCTGAAATGGTGAAACCGGTAAGGATCTCTCAATATGATTTTCTGCCCGACTACTGCACTAACATGCTTGTAGACAGAATGGCAATCGCCACACACACGAAGGTTCTTGAAAACCTTAACTGGTGAACCTTCTGGAGTATTGATCAATGCGAAAGCAAGGGCGATTCTCTCACTGTGGTTCCAAAGATTTTGTTCCTTCTGTTCTTCGTCTGTATCCTGCAGTGCGTAGCTGGTATCCGGAACATAACCTGCTTCTCTAATCATCTTCATGAGCTCTCCCAACTTGGCATAAATTTGCTCTGTCTGTGGATGGGACTGCTCTCCCATCCCAAATTTACTCACCTCGGTTTTCAACTTGACCCAACTGCACGCAGGCTTCTTCGTTATGTTTCTCGATCCCATCTGCCTCCTTACGTTCTCTACTTCCTCCCATCTACCAGTAGTTGCACATACATTTGAGAAAAGAACATAAGCTGAATCGTCCGATGGATCTAGCTCTAGGAGATGTTCTGCAGCTTTCCTCGCTAACTCCACATTACGATGGATTTTACATGCAGCCAGCAAGCTCCGCCACACAAGGTCATTTGGCGGGACAACCATTCCTTTAATGAAATTTTCAGCTTCAGCAAGCCTTCCAGATCGTCCAAGAAGATCAATCATGCACACACAATGCTCTATTCCTGGTGGTACGCCAAACTCTGTGGTCATTGAATTGTAGTACGCAAGACCATCATCCACCAGACCCCCATGACTGCAAGCAGACAGAAGTGAAACAAAGGTAACATGATCTGGTTTCACGCCAAGATTTAGCATTTCATGAAAAGCTTCCCTAGCCTTTGGGAAACACCCATGTTTGGCATAAGACGATATCAAAATGTTCCATGATAATCGTGACCTGCTGGTCGGCAAGGAAGTAATTTCAAAACATCTTTCATATTCCCGCATTTTCCATACATATCCATGGCAGCATTTGTAACGTAATCGTCTGAGTCAAAACCAAGCTTAACCACCAAGGCATGAAGTTGTTCGCCTTCCTCCAACATAGCCAGGTCTGCACTAACAGAAAGTGCCACAGAAAGGCTGAACTGATCTAAGTCCACTCCAGCTTTTCTCATCATCACTACAAGTTTCAAAGCTTCCTCTAAGCCATGATTAGCATTTGCAGATATGAGTGCATTCCATGCGATAGAGTTCTTGAAAGCTAATCCATTGAATATGGAATTACTTGAATTTAAATCACCACACTTAGCATACATTGTTATGAGCGTACTCTGCACATGCTTGTCCGAATCAAATCCTGTTAGAACTATATGCGCATGGATGGGCATTCCATGTTTGAGAAGATCGCCAGGAGTCAGAAAAGCACCAAGGACATTGATTATTGTAATGTAGTTTGCTGGAGTTCCTTCTTCTCTCATGAACTTGAAAGCTTTTATTGCCTCATTTGGTTCTTTGCTCTCAGCGTAACCACCTATGAGGGCATTCCAAGTAACTTGATCTCGGTTGGGCATTATTTGCAGCACCTTTTCTGCTTCAACCATCATACCAAACTTGCCGTACATTGTAACCAGTGCATTGCCAATTATCAGATTGTCTTGTAGGCCTGCAAAGACTGCAAGAGCATGAAGAATCTTGCCTTCAATGAGAAATTCAGGGTTCGGACAAGCAGATAGTGCACTTGTTAGAGTCACATAATTTACTGGTTTTCTCATCCGAAGCATTTCAGAGAAAAGTTCCAAGGCATTTTGGTACTCATCATTCTGCACATAGCATGCTAACATCGAGTTCCATGAGATTATATCCTTCTCTATCATTCTTTGGAAAACTAACTCAGCATCTTTGGACCTTCCAGCCTCCGAATACATACTTAAAAGAGTATTGCAAACACAGACATTTGACTCCAACCCTAGTTTTACAACTAAGCCATGAATTCCACTGCCCCACTTCAGTTTCTCTGAGGAACCAGAGACTGTCAACAATGTCGAAAGCGTTGTGGAATTCACCTCTTTATTAACACTCCGCATCCAGTGAAAGTGCCTTAATGATTCTTCGCAAAGCCCATTTTGTGCATCTGCAGAAATAATCGAATTCCATGAGATTATATCACGCTCATCCATCTGATCAAAGACGTAGCAGGCCGCTTCTACATTTCCGCAGCTACCATACATGGATATGAGAGAGTTTGCTACAGAAACACTAGTCTCTAGTCCGAGTTTCACAACATGTCCAAGAACTTGATGACCTAATAGTTCATTCCCTAGCATCCCACAAGTACTAATGACTATAGCAAATGTGTTATCATTGCAACACACTCCTTCATATATCATACGCTTATATATGTTTATAACTTCTTCCGAATCTCCATTAGTTGAACGGCCAACAATCAAAGAAGTCCAAGTAACCACATTCTTCTCCGGCATCTCCTCAAAAATCTTTTGAGCAGAAGACACAAAACCATAGGTGCCATAGAAGTGCAAAAGCGAAGTCCCAACAAAGACATCACAAAACAAACCAATTTTAACCACAAAACCATGGACCTGCAACCCTTCACTAAACCTACAAGCAGACTTATCACACGCAGTTATCAAACTAGCAATGACAAACCCGCTTGGCTTAACACCGCAGCCAATCATTTCGCAGAAGAATCCAATCGATTCGGAATACAACCCCACTCGTACATAACTCGATATCATCGTGTTCCAAGAAGCTTCATTTCTCTCAGGAATATTATCAAACACATACCTTGCATAACCAATACGACCAAACTTCGAATACATATTCACCAAAGTATTAAAACTGAACACACCAAGAGGCACAAAACCCTTCACGCACAATCCATGTAGCGCTCTTCCATTGATGTCTCTGGTGATCTCTGAGAAGCCCTTTTGAGAAAAGCAGTGAGACTTCGGGGTTGCGGGTGGTTTGAAAGGTGGAGATACTGAATGCCGCCATAGCTTGTGGGTTCTTCTGGGCATGGTGGGAGAGAGATGGGTTTTGGGTTTAGGTAGCTTCTGCGTGTAACAATGGCGGAATAGGTGGGTGGAAGTGGAAGAAGCACAAGTTTCAGAGCTGAGAGTTTTCTGCAGCGAATAGCCAGCTCTGCTTCTTTTGCTTCTTCAGTTCTTCCACTGAGCATACAAATTCTTCAATAATTTCTGGGTTAAGGTAATTTCAAGGTTTGACTATTGTAATTATTGGGCCTTAGGGTGAAATTGGTTAAGCCCAATGATGGATTTTGGCCCAGCTTTTATCTAGCCCAATGATGGATTTTGGCCCAGTTTTTGTCCAGCCCAATCTTACTCTTTCTCAAATTTTACTTTTTGTAACAAGCATCTTTCTTCGGGTGGTTTTATTGCCAATTTGCCATCCCTTGACACAAATCTATTGACTGACAACAAAAATAAAAACACAAAAATAGGTCTATACATAACACTACTCTTGTGCGTATTGTTAAGTATTGATTACTGAAGCTCGATAAGAATTTCTAAACTTTGCATAAATCAATGGACTATTTTGCAAATTAATGTTATTACATATTACTAAATCGATACACAAGCTTTTAATCGATCACTACAAATTGCTAAAAAGTTTAATTGTATTCTAACATATTCAATTTTATTTTGTTTAGTTGTTAATTTGTTTATTTTATTTGATACAAAAATAATAAATAATAAGTGTGTAAAAATTACTTTTTTATTTATTTTTTGGAAACAAAAAAAAATCACTTCTTTTTGAATTTGAAAGATAAAAATAGAAAGTAAATTAAGGCTAAATGAATAAATTATCAGGGGTAAAATTGTAAGTAGACATAATATAATCTCCATGTTATTTGTCGGCTTAAACCCTCACGCACCAGAGGCAGAGACTGACGCAAGAAAAACGAAAAACCCTAACGGCCGAGTCCCGTAGACTTCAACCTCTCGCGCCATACACCTACAGCTTCAGCTGACATTAATACGCTGCTGTTTCTGCTTCGAAGTACAAATCCGGCACCGAGACAGCATGGCGGCTACCGACGAAGAGAAGGAGGCGGCGACAACGACGGCGACGACGACGACGTTTAAGAATTTGGGGATATGCGACGAATTGGTGGATGCTTGTGAGAAATTGGGCTGGACAATCCCTACCCCAATTCAAGTCGAATCCATGCCTGCCGCCCTCGAAGGTCCGGTCGCTCTCTCATTGCATTTGCTTCAGTTTTTCTATCAATAAAATTTGAGCTTGCTTTGCATTTACAGATAGATTTTATATATATTTGGCTACTGATTGTATATATGATTTTTTGGGTATAAAGGAAAGGACTTGATCGCACTTGCACAAACGGGTTCGGGTAAAACCGGTGCATTCGCGCTTCCTATACTGCAAGAACTAATAAAGACTCCACAATCCTTTTTCGCTTGCGTTCTGTCTCCAACGAGGTCAGTTAAGCGACTTGAAGTATATGTTTATAGGAAGATAAATGTCTCAAAAAACAAAATTTGTTGTTGTTTTGTATTGTTGAAATTCATTTGGGTGTGCTGCAGAGAGCTTGCAATTCAGATCGCCGAGCAGTTTGAAGCTTTGGGGTCCGAGATTGGCGTCAAGTGTGCAGTGGTGAGCAATTGATGTTTTTAGTTTACTAGCTTGGCATAGTGCATGTTATGCATTGTATGAGCTTTGTTCTTTTGTGTATGTAGTGTCGTGGTAATTTGATGAAAATGTAAATTGTTACAGTTTTTAAAAGGTGAAAACTAATGAAAATATACCAGTAGCTTCTTTTGTTGTTTGTTACAGTTTTGTTTCATATTTAGGACGAATGTTTTTGAACAATTTATAGTGTCAATGTGTTGGTGCTTTATGTAGGCCTGTAAAGTACAGAGACGTTATCTTTTCTAATGCTCTGGAAGCTAACAACCTCTGAAGTTGTTAATTGAAGCTTTTTATTGATTTAACTATTCTAAACATTTTCAATGCTACTTAGTGCTTTACCTAATTGTTTTAGCTTGTTGGAGGAGTGGACATGGTGCAACAATCTATCAATCTTGCAAAGCGGCCACATGTTGTTGTAAGTTGTTATTTTACTTAACCGATAGCTTATGTAACAATTTTGTAGAAATGCCTTTGGGTTTCATGTCAACTTTTTCTAAAAGAATAGGTATTCTCTTGCAGGTTGCAACACCTGGACGCCTCATGGATCATCTATCCAACACAAAAGGATTTTCTCTTCGCACGTTGAAATTTTTGGTAGGAATTATTTTTGTTATGTCATCTGTTCAGTTGTTTCTTTGAATAACAACTTAGAAATGGGTTAGAGTGGTTTGGGCATATAAAATGTAGACCACTAGATGTAGTTGTTGGCAGAGGCAAGACTAGTAAAAGTAAGAACAAAAAGATCAAGAGGTCAGCCAAGACGAACATGGGATTACATAATGAAAAGATCATTGAAAAAATGATTTAGATTTAATAAGAAACATGAAATATATTTTGTTTTGGTCTATCATTTGTTTTTAGTTAGTTAAATTTGTTAAACATAGAACAACGTTTGCCGTCATACATTTTTTGAGAATATTTCTTGCATCTTCTTTCCCATCCATTAGACTAGCAACATTATCTTATACGATCATCTAGAACAATTTGTACTTGTGTGTGATATAACCTCAACTGTCCCATGACTGAGACTTGGTTAGAAATACTCTGAGTCTCTTATATCCAATGGAGCAGGTTTTAGATGAGGCTGACAGGTTGCTTAATGAGGACTTTGAAAAGTCAATTGATGAAATTCTGAATGAAATCCCTCGTGATCGGAGGACATACTTATTCTCTGCTACTATGACTAAAAAGGTACATGTCTAACTAATTTAAAGCATCTATGGAAGTGTTTGTATTGCTGCAATTGTTTTAGTTTTGTGTCATGACTTCTCTGCACGTCAAGTACCATAAATCAATTTTTTAGTTGGACTTATGTCACCAGCAAATAAAAGGAATATATGTAATTTCACTACTTTATTGGAAAGATAAAAAACAAAAGGAATGTTAAGAAGCCTGCAAATGAAGAAAAATTCTTTTATGCTGCTGTTACAGTTATATGAGGTTGCATTTTGTACTTCAAGTGTTCTTGTACTTCCTTCATGCTTCTTAGCAGAGACGATCGGTGCTTCTCATAATTTATATAGAGTACAGATTATGGAAGCAGATTCCTAATGCTTGTAATATTAGGGCTCGTTTGGCAAGTGCTTTTAAACGACTGAAATCGCTTTTAGATAAAATATTTTTGGAACCAAACCTTAGTAAAAATGCAAGTTAATTCTGCAAAAGCCCTTGAAGTGCTGCCAGCAAGAAGCTCATAACTGCTGCTTTTAGCAGAAAGCACTTTCAGTCATTTAAAAGTACTTGCCAAACGAGCCTTTAGGTTTTTGGGTTGAGCTGGCCTTAGTTTAGTAGTTAACAATGTATCTAGTTTCAGTCCTTGAAAGGCACCAATTAGATTGTGCTGGTGTTGCATTGGAGTGCAACACATAGGAAACAGATGAGTTGTATATGACGGAGGCTTGCCTTCTGAACCTTATATATTCCAAAAGTTATTCATCAGCTAATAGAATTGTGCTTGTAACATTGCAGGTTCGGAAGCTGCAAAGGGCTTGCCTAAGGAACCCTGTGAAGGTATGATGAAAGTGTTTGCTGGACCATGTTCATTCTGCACAATTCATTTTTTTCTTCCAGTATTAAAACAACTGCATTTCTTGACTTATCTCAGATTGAAGTAGCGTCTAAGTATTCGACGGTTGACACGCTAAAGCAGCAGTATCGTTTTCTGCCAGCCAAGTACAAGGTTTTCGCTGTCTTGCTATTTTTCTCCTCATATGATTTTTAATCCAGTGTTATTCGTCTACTCAGTTAGATAATCAGGACATGTCATGTTGCTCATGAGTCATATACAGATAATATTATGGCACGGACTGCTGCTAATAGTTTCCAATAAAAGTACATATGTGAATTATCACGAAGATATTTTGGTCAACATTTTGATTAGGAAAGAAGATCCTTCTATTATAGTTGTCATTCAGCAGTTTGGGAAAGCATTTTTTTAATTGCTTTGAGCTTTTATTTCCTGGTTGTTTGTGAAGCCAGATCCAGTAACTTGTGATTTCTCTTGTGCAACTGCAAATTAGTTTCTTTATAAATAGAAAAGAAATACAATGCCTGATGTTATGCCTTTTTCTCTTAAAACATTGATCTGTATTAGTATATAGGGTTATAGATAATAAAGAAATGTCAAGACCAGTAGGTTTAACTTGGGCTATAATAGCTTCTGAATTGGTTAATATATCTGGGGGACATCCTGGAGTGAAGGTATGATTTGAAGCATGTGTGCCTGGGGAGCGGAAAGGCATGCATGACAATATTATAATTATAGATGAATTGTTGGATTCGTTGGTGAATTATGAAATACCATAATACATGGTATGCACCATAAATGAGGCACATCAAATATTTGGTGCAAGATCCGGACACAGTTTGAAGATGTAATCATGACATGCATTCGTTCATTCACGAAGTTCCTAGCATTTTATGCCTTTGTTTTTGTTAATGTCTGTCTCTCTTGCTTATAAATTCACAGTTATTGTGATCACAGGATTGCTATCTTGTATATATTCTGACAGAGAAGTCTCAGTGTACAACTATGGTATTCACCCGCACATGCGATGCAACACAAGTTTTGGCTTTGATGCTTCGAAATCTTGGCATAAGGGCCATCCCAATTAGTGGTCACATGAGCCAGGTATATAACATCAAATTAAGTACTCTTGAATTTACTAATTTCATTTGAAGCACATTGTTTGGCTTATATTTCAAGGTTTTCTCTAACCTTGTTCATGTATTATTTCTGGCAGTCAAAAAGGCTTGGAGCCTTAAATATGTTCAAGGCTGGAGAATGTAATGTACTTATCTGCACTGATGTGGCTAGTAGAGGATTGGATATTCCATCAGTGGATATGGTTATTAATTATGACATTCCCACAAATTCTAAGGTTAGGCTTGCTATTTACTATTTGGGTCTTACAATATTTGTTGCATTTTTGTTCCATCTAAAACCCAATATTGTTATGGACTGCATTGCACAGTTTTTACCAGTACGACCCCGAAATGTTTGTCATAAAGTTAATTAGTGGTAGTGGACGACAATTAGTACGTGAAGACTTCATTACTAGTCAGTGATACAGAATGGCTTCCCTTGCCTCCCCTGCGTCCCTCGTCTCTTTCTATATAATACTTGTAATGCTTTGCAGAAAGCATGCTTGCTTAACCTGTAAGCGTACCTACTCAAGGAATAAAAAGATAAAAAGAGGAAGAAGAAAAATGATATATTTTAGTTCTGTTTAGGGGATATATTATTTGAAGAACTGTGCTATTCTTTTTTTCTTTTTTTATGCCATTGTTTGCTAACTATTATGAATCACAGGATTACATCCATAGAGTTGGAAGGACTGCTCGTGCTGGACGATCTGGAGTTGCAATCTCTCTAGTGAACCAGTATGAGTTGGAGTGGTATATACAGATAGAGAAGCTTATCGGTAAGCTATAGTTTCCCATGCTTGTCTGGTGGGATATCGAAACGAGTGTTTTTTACGCTTACAATTGGTTACTGTTCAGGCAAAAAGTTACCCGAATTTTCTGCTCAAGAAGAGGAAGTCTTGCTACTGTTGGAACGTGTCGGACAGGCCAAAAGACTAGCCCAGATGGTACTGTTCTTCCCAAGTTGATGTTTTTGATTTTTGTTTACATATCAATCTCAAGGATTTTGTTTCATTTACGGGGTATGTATCCCATTGAATAGATATAGTGCTCAACGTGTTCTACATTTGACATCTCCAGAAAATTAAAGAGAGCGGAGGCAAGAAGAGGAAGGGGGGAAACAATGGTGAGGAGGAGGATATTGACAAGTACTTAGGTCACAAAGGAGGAGGAAAGTCCGGAGGAAAGTCGAAGAAGTTCAAAAAATCTAGAGATTGATTCCCCTCCAATGCCAAGTTTTGTTCTCGAGAGAATTTTTTGCTTTTCGGTAACTATGTACCTCGATTCAACAAGGTGCCACCGAATACTTGCTTACCTTCTGTTGTTTGACGAAGGCAACAAGTAACTAGAGGACCGGCAATGAAATTTTTAATCTTTTTATGTAACATATCATGCTCAACATTTTCTTGACTGAGGGATGATGTTGAACATTTGTCCCACAATCTTTTTGGAAGTTTGATAAACATTGTTGATTTAGGTTTTCAGTTATTTAATATCATCATTTTCTATCATTTCTCTTATTTGGAATCCAAATTTCCAGTTGCAATACTACGGAGTATTGAAAAGATAGGGACAAACAATGTGGTGAGGTCCTAAGTTCTTGTCATGATAATGGACAAAATGATTCGAACTTGAGACCTTCTACGTCATAAAAAGAAAGTTACTGAAACAACAATTTCTGGGTTCCTATACCGCCTGGGAGCTACGACTGCAACGACTCCGTGGTTGATGTCTTATTAAGCACTTCCCATCGACTACACTTGTTGATTGATTAGGAAGAAGAAATCGAGCTAAATATGGTCAAAAATATAATTTAGCCAAAAGAAAAGTCATTGCACACTAAAGTTATCATGCTACACTCTAGGAATAAAACATATGATTTGATTATTTTTGTTACGTCTAATTCACGTCTAATTCAACTCTTTGAACAAGGGGGGGGGCGAGAGAGAGAGAGAGAGAGTAATTTCATTTGCTACTTCTAACGGAGTAAATATGCCCGTACAGACGTCTCAATAGAAGCCCTAAACAAATTCAAAAATCTGCCAGTGAAAAGTTCGACTACAAAAATTGTGTCACAATTTGTTTCCTCCGATCCTGGCTTCCATTCTTCGAGCAGAATGATCGATTTCTGCATATGACAGCAAGACGTGCCAAAACACTCCCTCTCCATCTCAAAAGGGTAAAAGTCCTAGCTCCCCAAATGTCATTTGCTTTATAGTCCACCGCGTCTGATGGGAGGGAGCAAAAAATCTATAATCCCAAATCCGATGGCCGGTATCCATCAACGTCTTTCAATACCAAAACTTGTGGCTCCAGCTCTCAGAGCTTACCCAATGTCGGTATATTCTGGCAATTGTTCATCATCGAGGCCTCCAATCAAGCCAGGAACGTAATCATGTGGCAGAACTCCAAAGGTTTCCATTTCCAGCAAAGACTCGTCAAGGCAAGAAAAGGAATTGCTTTCCAAATCATAAATTCCAGCATCCTCATCGATGGGGGCGTTCAGGTCAAACCTCGGATTTGGATTCAGGGGTGCAGCCATTGGGAAAGGTGGGAGTACCTGCTCGGAAACGAAGTTACGCATCTCACCATGCTCCACTGAACTTTTTCTGATCTTCGATTTGGAAGGTCTAACGGAATCGGAGAAGACAAGTTTGTGCTTTCCCGTGGTCGGTAACTTTGACATTGACCGAGACCTGATATCATTTGTCGGGAATACCGATGAGGCCCATCCCATGGCATCTTCATTGCAAGTTCTTGTTGCGGTCCTGAAAAGAGACATGACATTTATTAGCAACCTCCCAAAACCCAGAACTCCCCACACTTACGTAATTTTGACATCAGATACACATTTATTTTGCATTCAGCAATCGTTTTGGAATCATGTTGCAAGAGACCTTACCTGAAACGGTTCTCAGCCAAATTTACATTGCTTGATTTCCTAAGATGATGATCTTCAGTAGCTTTATTTAGCCATGGAAAATGGTCAGAATCAGATATTGATAAATTTAAAACAGATGGCAATTCATCCATTGTGTCATCTTTTGCTCCCTGAAATTCCAGAGTTATATCCAACCGTTCTGATTCAATTGAAGAATCTTTCCCCAGGTTTGGACGAAAGACTGTGTCATTGTCACGCCTGCTGCTGGCATCATTAAGTGCAGCTGGTACCAACTTGGTACCCTGTCTGTTGCTGGCATCATTCAGTGCAGCCGCTACCAACTTGGTACCGTGTCCGAAATTGGTCAATTTCATTCTTTCTGTACGTTCCATCATGGGAGTTTGAGACTTTTGGTTGGAAGGGCTGAAAATGCTTCCCCCAAAATATAAACCATTCTGGGAAGATGGGAGATTTTTTCGGCGGTCTTTGTGGGATGTCACCTTCCAGATAGCTGAAAGCAAGGCAGTGAAGTGTTTCTGAATGAGGAACTCTGTATTGGGCTGGTCAGCGGCAACGTTTAATAACATTCGAATATTATCCTGGCACATAAGAAAGATAATTAGATGATTACTGGTTTTTCCTTGCGCAATGCTTTAGTAAATGATAACCGTACCAATTTTAATGCACAATAGTTCACTAAGTCCAGTGATATAAGTGATTATGAGGTCGACAAAACATATGCAGTTCAGTATATATAAAAAAGTAAAATAAAAACCATTTGTACCTCTGTCACTTTTAGAAGAGCCTTTCCAGATCCTATATTGTTAACTTTTTCATAGTTAGGATTGTCCGGTGTAGACAAAACATATCTTTGGATGAGTTCCCTAAATCTCTCACAGCAATGGATGGGATGGCGATATCTTCCCCTATAAAACCCACCAGCGGTCATTCCATAAAGCACGTCACTAACCAAGCTCCAATGAGGACCATACTCATGTACAACAGCACATAACATAGCATCCTCCTGTGACAACCAAAAATCTGGTGATGGAATACAGTCTCTAGACCAAATGTTCCCCTTCTTTAGCTTCTCTGGTTTAATTAGTAGAATTCGCTTTACAGGCATGGAAGTGATAGAAATTTTCCCTCCCATTTTGCTTCTGCTAGCTGGCTTATGATCAAACTCAACCATACTCTCACATGGTTTTGACTCTGTAACTTCATCATGATCCATAGTAGTGAGGTTAGTATCAAGCTCCGTAGGACATATTTCAAGAGTAGACTTCTTGAGCTTCTTAGACTTCTTCTTTGAACTCTTCTCTTCGCCGACTGGTATGACTTCAGCTTTCTTACGTTTTCTCTGCACGCTTGAACGTGGTGATTCCGTATCGGAATAGGTAACCATCTCATGAGAGAGAGAGTCTTCATCTATGGACATAGGTTCGGCTTGTAGCTCTCCTTTCAAAGGTTTCAGTTCAGAAGCTAGAGACCTGTTTCTTCAGAGATTTAAATTTGGCTTTCTTCGATTTCTTCTTAGTCTTTGGTTTAGGATCAATTGGCATCTCATTCCTGGAATATTATACAACTAATTAATTAGAGAAGCTTCAACTTAAAAAGAAAAAGGTTTCAATAGCTACATTCAGAGGTTCCCAAATTTAATATGGTATTTCAGAGCCAAAGTGCTCTTATTTCTTCAGTTGACAGTTTGGATATTCGTAAAACTTGAATATCTTAATTGCTATTCTAGACACCAGTACAGATGCTTGTGTTGTGTGTATGTATGTGCAGGAGGGGATCTTGTAACATATACATATTGGGTGCCAGCTACAGGACTTTTTTCTGAGAAAGGGGGATGGGGGAGGGAGAGAGAAAAACATCAATTCATTTTTTCTCAACCTATTGCACCTGATACGATTCTTTTTACTATATCTGAATGAGTTGATGGGAAAAGAGAATTAATTTGAACCAACTACTATCAGGAAAAATATTGAGTCCGTCAGCTTACTTCATAGAATCACCATTTTCCTCTGCTTCATCTTCCTTCAGTTTAGCTTCGTATTCCAGTTCCTCTAACTGAAAAAAGTTTGCACATTAATTATTACATAGACACTACAATATGCAGCACAAAAACTATCCCACTGACCTGAATTTGAGCTAAAGCCTCAACCTGCTGCCGATATGCCTCAGTTGCAAAATCAGCATCCCATGCTAAGTACAAAATACACGAGTTTAGTCTAAAGTTGCAACACGCATACATGGCAATATAACATATTAGTAGTTTGAATTTCTCAAACTACGTCAATGACCACCATGTCCCAAATAATTGCAGAAATTGATTTGCAGATACCAGATACCATATCATGACAATATGTAATACAGTTAAGGGACAAATTGAAAAACAAGAGCCATGTAGGCAAAAAGATGATGTCAGGTGGAAACAATTTTATTGTAAGAGACGGGAGAAATCATTATAGCTTAAAGAAAATAAAAACTCTTTCATGTTCCAACTCAGTTTGATGTCTAACGCAAACTTAATTTGGCAAATTGAGGTAAGATGTGGAGTGAAGGTCACACGATTTTATCATGAAGTAACACACATGACAAACCATAGAGTTGGATATATTTAAGGTTACGATATGCCTCAAGGTAACTTAACAAACAATGCAAAGAATACAAGGGTACGTACTTTCATATACAAGAGGTTCCTCATCTTCATCAATCTCAGCTTCCATTTCCTCCTTGTATTTTTCAATGCGGTCCAGTTCCCATTCTGTCTCCTCAAACCTAGCCTGAGATTCCACTGCTTTCTTGTCTATAATTGGGTCCCACAATTCTAGAAAGCGAATTGCATACCTATCTATCGGACGTAATTGATTGCCAAATGATGAGATTTCTTGTCCTGCAGCTGCAGCAGCCGCAGCCATCTGTTTGACATCAGCCATCATGTCCACATCATCTTCTCTACAAGCAACAGTATGAGCTCTTCCTTCATTAGGATCACCCCCATTTTCTTTGCTTGAAGACGCCACGCATCCACCCCGATCTGCAGGTTCATCAATCTTCACATCGTCCTCATTTACTAATTCATCATCTTCCAATCTCACAATGGCTTCTTCTGTAAATTCTTGGTTGTCCACAGCTTCTTCCTGCTCAACTTTCTTTAATGCCATGTAATCAGCTTCATCTTCTGCATGCTTTAGAGCAGCTTCAAGATCAGCATTAGACAGAGAAACCTCAGTTGCGTTGTGATTTTTCTCCTTTTGCATATTCTTCACGGGAAGTGCCCTAAGACCAGAGAAAAGCTCCACAGGGTCAAGCTTTTTGAAGAATTCAGTGTTGTAGCCCCCACTCTGTATAACTAGATCATCAAGTGCACGCTTCTGATTTGCCTTCTTCAGGATATTTTCTTCAATGGTACTCTGACTGATCAACCGATAAATATTTACTTCACGTGTCTGTCCAATACGGTGGCATCGATCTTGAGCTTGTTGGTCCATAGCAGGATTCCAGTCACTATCATAAAAGATAACAGTGTCTGCCCCAACTAGGTTAATACCCACACCCCCACTACGGGTTGACAATATGAAAAGAAAAATTTTTGGATTCGTGTTAAACCGCTGCATTAAAGTCTGCCTCTCC